CTTCAGACTCGAATTTGTCTACTCTGTACATCGGACTAAAGTTCAATCTGAAGTTAACTATTTTACAGATAAGAATTTTCTACCCGGCGAGACTACTTTGTTCAATTGAGAATCCGTAGAAAAGGCGTTCGTAGAATTCAGGGAATTCAGAAGTACCCGGAGCTTCACGCAAATTGAATTCGTAGTCGTACGACTAAAAGTGCCCCAATTCCAGTAGTAAATACTTCGATTCGAAGAAGTTACATCTCATAAGATGTTTCGCGCATTCCAACCGAATAATTATTCTATAACTCGACTGGAAATCGTTGACCCAATCGTGGACCGTGACCCACTTATCCCTTGCAATTTCTGAATTATAAATAATTGTCTAATGTAAAAATGTATGATTTCGTAAACTGGGATCCAGATAAATTTTTATCGATGGCAGAGGGAGTTGGTCGACGCGAGGGGAAACGTTGGGAGGAGCTGACCCAGTGATACGGATCTGTAAATCGAACGGATTAATTAGGGTGTAGGGTTCTTTGATCCCGGAGGGCGAAGACCCGCCCGAAACGTCCCGTGAGACCCGAAGAAAGCGACGTCGCGTTCGTTTCGACATACCAGCGTATCGTAACATGGCTAATTGCGGTATTAAACAGCGGACTTTACGAGGCAACGGTACGCTGCTGACAACGTTCGGCAAACATTAGCCGCCATTAACGAAGATACAAGCCACGCGGTATTGATGCGTCCACGCTGGAGATCCGCAATGTCAAGGGGAAGGCTAAAATGTTAAGATCGCCGGCCGTAATCGAACACCTGACGCGAACATTCCAGGAAATTGGCCCGAGATAGCGGCGCGCATAATGCTAATGGATGGATATTAATTTGGCCGTGGCGAACACATTTTAACTAATCTCGGGGATATCGGGGAGAGGTAGGCCGCGACTAAGAGAGGCTGGCTACGCGTCTTCGGCCGTGTCAGGTGCTGGTAATCCGGAAAGTCTCGGAACATCCTCGATATTCACGATAAACATAATGCTCCGGGTGATGTTGCGCCGCGGAAGATAGAAGATTCCGCGAAAACCATTCTATACGCGCGAATTTATGTACGACGGAGAGGATTTCACGCAGGAATAGCAATCGAGGGTCTAATAGGAAGGACGTATGTTTAAAATTGCGGTTTTAAAATTTTCCAAAAACGCAATGTGGATAGATTATGTATCGTCGGAAGACGCGACGTTTTACCGAGTTTGGAAGTCCGAAGTTAATCGTTGAACGAGATAATACTATGTTTTAACGGGTATTTTTTACCGCGTGGATATATTTTCGCGCAATAAAAATGGCAGCCGGCTGAATGGAACTATTTTTTTTTTTTTCTGAGCGCGTCCTTTCGCTCGTCGCGATAGAAATGCCTATTAATTCGGCGTCGGTGCCGATATTTCATCGACTCGATCGAACGCCACCAAAGCGTTTTCGACGTTCTCACGCTTGCACTGCTTGGCTTTTCAATTTCCCTTCTTGCTTTTTTTATCACGCGATGTTATAGCGAGACGCACTTAACCCGAATACATTGATTATTTTAATTGCACCGGTTCGCGCGGTTATTAATAACCGTTTTCAAAAAGACCGTCGGGCAAAAACATCGTGCTATCGATCGGTGTTAATTTTCTTTGCACTTTGTTCCATCGAAAACCGTAAGATCACGCGTGGGTGGTAAGAACCAGAGAATTATTAAGTTTCGATCGTATTTTGCGTTTCAAACGTTCCCCAAAGCTCGCGTCGCTGTGCTTTTCAATTTCCTCCCCCTCCCCCCTTTCTCGTTTCTCTTTTTTTTTTTATTTCTCAATTCGCGATGTTAAGCCGGGACACACTTAACCCAAATATTTACATTGATTATTTTAATTGCACCGGGTCGCGCGACTATTAATAACCGTTTCAGAAAAGGCTGCTGATCATAAAGCGTGGAATTTTAATGACGCGCAGTCCACGCTCGCGAATTCCCAGGCGCGAGCGTCGCGCGTGCACCGCCCTGCGTCCGCGGCGGTTCCATGCATTTAAAGATTATAGGAACCTATAAAGCTTTGGCCGCTACGCCGGTACATTTTATAAAGCCGATTATTCGCAATCTCGAGATAGCGCCGAAGCGCGACGGGGTCACGGCTTTATTCGCGATGTTTCGACCCCCGGGACCGGAGACCTTTTTGGAATTCCAGGCGCGCACCGGAAACGTTTACAACGTATTTTGTAACGGGCGGATCGACGAAGGACAAATCATTCTTCCCGGACGAAGTTCCTCGGCGTCTCCGCTTTCCCTAATCCCGCCATTCTCTCGTGCCCCTCTTTTTACGGGAATTCTCGTTGTCGGAGAATTAATGAAAAACAAAAAGAGTCCAATGAGATCCGAGGAAATCAACCCCCTGCCCTACGATGATGTGTCTGATGTCAAGTTTCATAATACTCATAAATTAAAATCAACAGACTTTTACATTCACGAGGTATTCGTAAAACAAATCTACTCTTATCACAATTAAATAGTCTACATTTGAAAAATTATTTGGAATTAAATCGTAAGTCAAAGGGTTAAACGACGGGGAGTTCCTCCATAATTTGCACACCTCCCATTTGTTTCATTTCGTGCGCGTTTTTGTCCGTCAAAATGGGTCCAATCATTCGCCCTTATTTGTTATCGTAAAACGAAACAAGCCTTAACGATGTCCCCTCGGGGTAACCGGCGGGGTTGTTCACCTTCCCGAAGACAATCTTACGATTCTTTGCAACCTGCTTGTCTTCTCGAACGGGCACAGACGTCGCGATCAATTATGTCGCGTATATTAATTGCGACGGGAACAGAGGAGCGTACAGTTTATTAACTCGTCGGCCGGCGCAGCTCGCGAGCAGCGCTTGCTAACGACGCTTAGCCTGAAAGGAGGCGTGCTTGTTTTCAAGGGATCAAAAGCCCGACGCGACAAGCGCCGAGCAGCCAGAACGCGCGGTTCCCTCGTTGAAAGCAGCGCGAAATCCGCCGCGAATTTCTCCGTTGCGCCTGTCCCCCTCCGCGATTTTATTTTTTTAAATATTTTCCGCGACTAGAGCGTCGCGAGCATGGGGGCGGGAGGGGGCTGGAGAACGCTTAGGGAGGACAGGTGTTGGGTAGTCCCGTGTGTACGAGCCGGGTACGCGCGAGCGAAGACGCCGCTACGCGACAATTATACGCGACGCCTTATTATAATCGGAGCAGCTCTCGTTTAAAGCGGCTGAAACGGCAGCCGGGACGACGGGCATAATAAGGGAGAAAAGAAGAAAGGAACCGGGCGCGGTGAATATAGGATTCTACACGGCCGCGCGGGCTCTCTGTTACCACTGCCCTAACCTCATTTAGTTAGAAAGTGTTTGCGCGACGAGACCGGCGCAAGATTTAATTGGAAACGCCTCGTGTCTATCGCTCTACCCGGGGCTCCGGCGTTGAAACCGCTCCCGTGAATGTCATCCACTGAGCCCTCCGCTCGCCCGTAATTGGTCGCCTTTCTCGCTCCATCCGACCGCCAGGATTTTCCGGCCGTACCTACGAGACGGGTACAACCTTTCAACCCACGGCGATAAATTTGTATATTCGGATTAATAGCGAGACGCGGTCTAGTTCGCGATCTGAGCTACATTACTCTCGCGTTGATGCGTTCGTTCGACCCCTAGGGCCAACCAAGAACCACCGGAAGTGTCTTGCAAGTCGCCACAGCCTAACTGGTACGCAAAAATTGATCTTGTTTTTCCACTTTGTACAAGGGGAGTTTCCAAGTACCGCACAGTAGCGATATCTTTAAAGTGTGAAACGCTATACGATCGCCATTTCGCGTAAACAATAGCAAGGATGGAATAAACAATGGTCAAGTTTTGCGTAAACAATGTTCTAGTCGTGCTTGCACAGTTAAAAAATCCTTCGTATTTTTTTGAAGTGTGTCTTTTTATGGCTTTGCTGACCCCCGTTTCCGGACAGATCATCGTCCTCTATTATCGGACACTGCAATTCTAAATTTTGCTTATTCATATTCCTATTAAGGGTTAAACCCCTGCGAAAGAAAAGTAATATCCTTGATTCCCGAACGCAAAAGTTTCCTATTGATTTCTGCCTAATACGTACCTATTGTTTTACATGTAATTTACTTGAATTTTCTAGCCAGAAATATTTTTGAGAATTATTTGCTGGCTTCCCCCAGCCCGAAATTCATAATAAGTCAGGATTGGCGTATTGTTTCAATAGGTTAAATAAATACGTCCATTTTGGACGAATGCAGCGTTGTTAATGCCCCGATAATGTACGATAATATATATTTAATATCTGTTTAGCATACGCGTCCATTTACGTTTTTGCGGAATATAAGCTTTCAGTCAACATTGTTGAATTCATAATACGCGGCTGACATAAATCTAGACTCATTAGAATATCCAGCTGGCCGTGTAACTCAATGAAGCATCAATACAGATAGCAATAATTAATTTCCGCGCACACGAAGTAATAAAATAATAATAATTAATATTATTATTTATTTGCGAATATGAACCTCCGTTACCAAATACGTTCGGCATACAAATAGGGCCGGAGTATTCGCGTCCAAACAAATTGTTGAAAGCTACGATAACCAACGAAAGAATGGAAATCGTAATCACTTGGTACACAATGATTAATTAGTGATAGTTTTACAATTTCCAAATTTTACCCGACGATTAAACCCACGGGAAGCAGGAATATTCCCTCGTCGTCGTTCTTGGTGAACCTGAAATCGCGCACGAAAACTCTGACCAGCCAATTTTGCGAAGTCGATCCAGATCGACGGTTCGATTCCGTCGAATTAACCTTTTATTCGAAAACACTCGACGTCCCGGCTGTCTTTTGCGAACGGTTCTGCAAATTAGAATCGAACGGGGGCGTTTCCATCGAACCGTCGCTCGTCTTCCGCGACGATAATAACGCAGAGGTAATCACTGGCGGCCTAATTAATCGACGCTATTCGCAATTGTTCCAGGATGTTTGGAAGCAGCGGTGCTTGCGCGGGCTGCGGCAACACGATACCTGCCAGCGAGCTGGTGATGAGGACGGGTGGATCGGTGTTTCACCAGAAATGCTTCACCTGCAGCAAATGCGGCAGCCAACTCGTCTCCGGCGATAGGTAAGACCATGCATCCACAAATCGTTCATAAATCGCTCGAAAAACACATTACAAATAAGCGAAAGAGATGATCTATTCAAATACATCCGCATTGTATGGTAGAATTCGATATATTTTATAGTTTCATTTTTTGGGGGGCTAAGAAATGTAAAATAAAATTTGCTTTGTATAATAGTTTATTCACGAGACGATAGAATTTGGCTGGCGCGTCTGACCATTATTTACTATTTCTACTTGCAACGATGACCAAGTTCGTAAAAACAGTGTACCAACAAGTCTTATTCTACATTTTCAACTTATTTTTGTACGTAGAAGCAACTCCTGCTTGGTCCAATCCTGGGACGATGAATGTTAAAAGAAATATATAGAAAAGTGTCGATCTAACAAAATGTGGAAGAAGGGGGTGTCTCGATATCGACTTGGGGAAGAATTAGGGGGGTGGGATCGCGACTTGGAGCGGGTCGACGAAGGAATCGATACGGGGGAAATCGGCTGAATCGATGGGAGGGTTTCGCGCTCGAACGGGAACCGGAGATATGAGTCGGAGAGGAAATGCGGCAATTAAAGGGTTGGAAAAGAGGCGTGTCACGCGGGGCTGCCGGTTAATTGGTGTGGGGCTTGCAATTGGGGATTTTGTGATAAAAGAGGAGGGGAACAATTATTCCAGACCTGTAACGAAGCAAACTTGTTTATGAGCATCGATTTCGTGAATACCCGCGCGCCGAATCGACGAAAACACTGTTAGCGGTTGATTATGGGACCTTGTTTCAAAGCTCGACGGAGAAATTTTATTCCCACGAACCAATTATCAATGCGCGCTTTTACGGATCGCGTCATTATAAATTGCAGTCGATCGCGAGCGCAGTCCTTGTCTTAGTATACAAATTTAAATTCATTTTCAATTAAATACATAATTTATGATCCAGTTTTATCGCACACCGGTCGTATAAATCAATAGGAATTGTTGAATCACTTTTAGGTATATAGGGTCAAAGTAAATGTAAAAATAAACATGGAAGACAGCGTAGAAAATAATAATTGTTACGTGCATCGGATAGGGGATGAAATGCCCTCTAAAATGAGCGTTTGTACGAGTCGATAGCTTTATTAGTTCCGGAGATATAGCGATTTTAGTTTCGAGTCGCTGCGGTGGCTAGTTTCGAAGATACGTCGCGTGGTCAATGAACTTACTACGGCCTTGTCAAGGTCGTTGACCGCACGTGATCGTAGTAAATAGTAAACGTGACGTCACTCAATCACTCGGTCAGTGGGTCAACGTGCGACAAGGAGGTCCGACGCGTTAGACGAAGACAGAGACAATCGAATTAAAAAAATTACCTTTTACATAAATTACGATATCTCCGAAACGGAAAGTCCGATCGTCAAAAACAAAAAACCATTTTAAAGGGGAGGCTTTGCCGTTTCTAACAACACCTCAAAAATTAATATAGCTCTAATAGTTTCGGAACTGCACAGGTCTAAAGTTTTATGATTTTTAATGCGCGTTAATAGGCCTTTCTAAGGCGTCGAGTGAGATCGTAGTCGAATTAAAAAAATACCTTTTACATAAATTACGATATCTCAAAAACGGTAAGTCCGATCGACAAAATTCAAAAGCCATTTTAAAGGGGAGGCTTTGCCGCTGCCAACAGTGGCTCAAAAATTAATATAGCACTAGTAGTTTCGGAACTGCACTCGTCTAAAGTTTTATGATTTTTCTAAGGCGACGAGCGCGATCCCAGTGGAAATTGAGAAATTACTACTTCACTTAAATTACGATATCTCCGAGACGTAAAGAAAAAGGAGAGAAAGATGGTTAAATTTCGACCGTACACATGAAACTGCCCCCTCAAACTTTTTTAACATGTTGTCCTTATGATGTTTACCCTGTTCGCGTTAAAATTATAGTTGTAACCTTATCCTGACTATCGAGTTCTGTTGCTAATGGGTGTTCCCGTTTATCGAATAATGAAATAAAGTCTTGGTTGCAGAAAGGACTGACCAAGGGCGTTTTGTTGTTCAAGGTACTACCTGCTGTCGGGTTCGCCGGTCTGCGAGACGGATTGGCACAAAATCGTCAAGTCGTCGAGCGTCGCGGCCGCAGCGGCCGCCGCGGCGGCCGGAAACGGCGGCGCCCCGGTGAGGAAAGGTAAGGTCGGTCGGCCTCGAAGGAGTCGCGAATGAGGCGGCAACCCGGTCGGTCGCCCGAAGAAGGTGCAAGCCTCTCCACAGCCGACGCCCGCCGTTGTACCGTCACAGGTCGACGTGGTGGACGTCGCCGTTGGGGGGGATCCCTATTCGCCGCCTCCGCCGGGTCATCAGCAGTACAACCATCACCACCACCACCATCACCATCATCACCAGATGGGAATCGTACATCCGGGACTGGCGGTACAGCAAACGCACCTGCAGGCGTCCACCTATCAGGACTGGTCTCCGTGGGCCCAGGACACCTGCGACTGAGCTGTCCCCGCGCGTCGACACTCGAGGTCACGGGGTCCGTCTCTCGGCTGACCCCTGACCTCTCACGACCGCCGGTCTTCCGTTTTTCTCTCAGCAGAGAAGAAGATTCTCCCTCTCCCTCGTCGATGGACTCGCGACTATGGACTCGTTGTATGCGTTCGAGTGACTCGTGCACGAGGCGAGAGGGGGTATCCCGGTGGACGAGGACCGTGTTCCCGGAGAATGGTGGACGAGTTTTCGTGGTTTCCGCAAGTGAACGTTTCCGGGCGTCCCCGCCGATCGGAGACGATTTTTCGCGCGAATCAGTGCGCGGATCGAACGACCGAGACGAACACTCTCGAACTAGCGTACCTCCGTTGAGAAGATCCGCTCGCTGCAACGCGGGCACGAGCGGCGCGTGCCAGTGCTACGTGTCCACTTAAAGAGTTTTTACTCTCGACAGTCGCTATGGACGTTACGGAGCTCTTTCGCGCGGGTATACAGAGACATCAAACGTTGGAAGCTGCTTTTGGGAAGCTGTGTACCCGCGCGGGGGAGCCCTGTCTCTCGATGCTGTGCCCACTGGAGGGTTTCGTCCTCGATGGAGCCGCTCCGGTGGACGAAGTGGCATAACGCTGCACGCATCTTCGCTTGGTCTCCCTTAATCAATAATCTTTGCTCAATCGCGGTGAATCGAGGATAATCGAAGTGTCTAAAAAGCACGGGCCGCGTGCAAGTTATCGTCGCCCGCCAGCGGTAACGGCAGTTTTCTTCGGCTTCATCCGATTCTTTGATGCTCATCCGCGCTCAATCTATCCGGTAATCCTGTTAATCGCACGTTAGACACCCGGCAATCACTTTCGCTCGTGTTTCCCGGCGTTTACGTTTCCCCTCCCGGTAACGCGTGCATCTGCGCCCCGATACTCTAAGCTTCTTGCGATCGAATAGACGATTAAATGTACACCCAACAGACGCTACGCCCATGGAACGAATAGGTCGTTTTCAGTTTGTCGCGGAGCGCTCGGGCGGATCGCGTTCGGCTGTGATTTCGATGATCTTGATTCGGTTTTTCTTTCTCGAGGAAATAAAAATCGGTGCTCGCGAGGCAGAGGACCGAATCAAGTACCACAAATAATCGGTACAAGCATATTATTATTTATAGTAAATTATTATGAATCTTGAAATGGAATTTTAAGATAGGTTTGATGTTGTTGCTGCGTCGAGTATCGTTGATAGTTGAATTGGAATTTATTGAGATATCCAGAGTATAATTAATGTTACAAATTGCATATTTTTCTCGACCTTACGACAGTCTTTTCGATCAACGTTTAGTTATTTTAATACAACGTTCATTATATTGTTAAATTAACAGATACCAAAAATATCATTTAGTTATCGTTGGACATTGTAGAAATTAACATTGAACGAGCAAGAATTTAATTACAGATATAGCAAATTAATTAAACGTCAATTTATATTGAGGCTACGAAGTCAAGAAGAGAAACATATTTATATACACGAAATGATAACTAGAAACACATAGTCTTGGATTCAGAGACAGAATCAAATATATAGGAAAAAATTGTATCGTTGTGAATCCAATAAAGTAAAATTATTTTGACTTCTTGCCTGTCGATTTCGGTTATACGTGCAATTTAATTTTTACCAGTTCGATGTTAATATCAGTACAAGTCTCGTTTAGATTTATAATAATTTCTACCAAAGAAGACCCAAAAATAATAATAAGCTTGTACTCGCTATTTTAATTTTTATTTCATTATCATTTTTTAGCGAATTTCACTAAATGGGTGAAAGGTATAAATTTAGGAGAGTGGTTTAAACAGAAACGATGCTTTTTTAAATAAATTTTTCTTCCAGAAATCTCATCATTCTATTTTCGAACATTGTCCATTTCGTTGAAGCGTGAGTCGGTTAAATGACGCCATAGCAACCGAAACAGATTGTAATTAGACCGGACCAAACCCAGAGAATACTCTGTGTGCCGCAGAAGTTCCTAACCCAAGCTGAAGAAGACCTCCTTCGCTCTTGAGCGCCGTGGTGGCCAAAATTTATCGCGTGGTAGGATGACCTGACGGTTTCCTTGACCAGTAAACGATCTCTTTTGCTCCAATTAATCGTTCAAATTGATCAATTGGCGTTCATAACGATCCATTGTGACCGCTTCACCTTGTAGTTTATAATAGACCGCATCTTTCGCCTCTCAGCAGATGCATCGTCAAACTTTTGTTTGCATAGATATTATTAGATAGGCAAGATCTACCCACTATTTACAATTTTCATAAGGAACCAATTTTTCTTTGACCATTGCAGAAAATAACCAACATGTCTGATCTCTCCGGTCTCTTTTTTGATTATCCAAGATCTACAACTCGTTTAGAACTCTCATTTCTTGTTTCCCGTGCAAGTAATCGTTTACTATCCTCGATAGAAGGATGACCCACTCCGTCGAAATATCGTTCAAGAACTGTATTCAGAAAATTTGAACCATGGGGCCTCAGAATCGAGGTCATTGTATCGAAAGACAGAAGAATCCAGCCGAACGAGCAGCTCGAGGGCGCGATTTACATTCGCCGGTCCGTAGAAACGCTAAAAACGATAACACAACCGCGGAAGCTCGTGAATCCCGTCGTGGACCTGGCGCGCGCAGGGATCGTCTCGAGGTCCGAAAAACTTGTCACGTGTGGAGCAAGAAAATTGCATCTGCCGGGTCGGATAATTTGGCGATTGAAACGGTGGCCCGCGCCCAGGTCCCGGCCCTTAGAAAATTATTTTTCTTTGAAAATTACCGACCCCTTCGACTCGTCGACCGTAGAGGGAAAGAGGGAGGGAGGGAGGAGGGCACCGACTCCGTAAACTCATTAAGCGTTCCTTGTTCTCGCGATCGTTAATCGAGTCTCTCTCGCTACGGGATAAAAACCCGACACCGAGGTGGAACCGTACGAACGGGCGAAATTATCATTCGAATCTTCCTTGTTAACGCTCGCCGTGTCGTCCCCGTTCCTTCGCCGGCGGTTCTTTTACTTTTTTCGCTGCCGCGTGATCCGCCGGGGCACGAATGTAACGAGAACGAACGGAACGTTGCGCAACCATCGTCGAACGACTAGCGCCCCGCGTCCACGAGTCGCCATTTTCGTTCGCGAATGGTGTTTGCGTGTCACCCGGACGAAAGGAGAGTCCTTCGCTCGCCATCGCGGAGCCAGAGATCGGCGTATAGCTCGACAAGTTTGGTAGAGGCCGATATTCCAGGCAGAAGGAAAGAAATTCCGCGGAGGAGTACCTGCTAGGTAGATATTGACCCCTCCTACCTCAGTCGTCTCAAGAATTTCTCTCGATCAGTGCTGCAATAGTTAAAACAGGCGATCGGAATATCGCCATAAATTTGAATTTCGTTCCTATTGGCTAAAATATATTTTCGAGGAGTGTATTATTTAACCCCAATGCACACCAGTCTCAGACATCTTTCGTTACCACCCCATGCATTGACCGTGAGTTTCTATTTTACGGATTGTTTCTTCAAGGATTGGGTACGCTACTTGTAATCAGATCCAGTACGATTTTCCACTAGAATGATTCTCCATTTCTTTTTAGATTCGCGATAAAATAGACTGACGTGCATCGGGGGGATTATAGTCGAGGGGGTTGTGGAGCTATACCGTGTCTCGATCGACGACCGACGTTCCGTCGATTTCTCGGTCGTCGATCGCGAAAGCCCGTGGAATCTCTCATGCCAGTGTCGCGAGTGGACGTCGAGCGTTTCAGTTCGAAGACCGCTATTTTTCCCCATCGTGAAACGAAGGGGTTGCAACGGGGGGAAACTGTCGAGCGACGAGAACGCGGGCACCGGGTGTCCCGACCACGTGCCCGGCAAGGATGAAGCGTGTAACATACTTTTTCTAAGTGGCAGGGTTTCGACATGCGCAATAAACATTTACGTAAATGTATAATCGTGAACACGTTACGATGTATGTACTATGGGCCGGAGCCCGACGTCGTTTCCGGTGACGGGCCTCTCGCGTACCACGCTCACAGGTTGTACAGACGTTTTTCCTTTACGTTTCCCATCGACGAGGCTCGACTGGCAAACGACTATCGCGAGGGGAACGGGAAACGACGCGGGTTCGGGCACGCTCGAAGCTCAATGCGAAACTAAAGACACATGTTTTGGGTGTAAATCACGCGGAGGCGGCTCTGGTGGCTCGCTACGCGGCGGGCGGTTCTCTTGTCGATTCGCTCGCTCCGTCCTCGGTACCGTTTACGCTTACAACGTTGGACGATTGTTAAAATTGTTGTCGACGGTGTTAACCAGGTTGCTTCGCCAATTGATTTCTGATCGCGTGCCATAGTCAGCGGTGGGGGATTTACGCGATTGCACAATGTGCTCGAGAATCTAACGAAAGTGCATACTAGGATAACAAAACGGTTTTGCAGAAAATGAATCTTCGTCGACTGGTATCGATAGTGTCGATTCGGAATTAGTCAAAAAAAATATCAGATACTAAGCGACAATGCAATAAAGCAGAATGCTGTTAAATTGGTCTCTCTTCGCACAAAGAACCGGGATAGCTTTGCAGAAGCGTGCAATTATCGTACTTTCACGAGAACGATGGCAAAATACCATAGATCGCCATGCATGAAATTATGTATTGTTGTGGGCATCGACCTAAAAACCGGGAGCTATGTGAAATTCATTGTGCAACAATTTATACGACTGGTTGTTGCGGGGC